GAGAGAGAGAGAGATCCCACTCGTTTCTTTCATAGCGTGTTGTCTGAAATTCTTTACCCACATCTAATGTGTGTTTGCAATTTTTGGTCCAGGTGATTCCTGGGAACTATGGATTCATTGCCCAGCTGAATGAAGGCCGCCATCTTAAGAAACGACCAACTGAATTCAGGGTGGATAAAGTTCTCCAACCCTTTGATGACAAGAAATTCAATTTCACCAAGGTGGGGCAGGAAGAGGTTCTCTTTCGTTTCGAAGAGAGCAACCATGATGAAACTTTCTTCTTTGAGAAAGCTGCTGCTTCCTCTTGTCCCAGTGTTGTGGCCATCAATGTAAGCTTGCTATTCAAAACCACTGAATCCTTGAGGTTTTCTCTCTCTATAAAACTCATTGGAAGTTTTCTACGGTTTTTCAGGTGAGCCCAATCGAGTATGGGCATGTGCTCCTTATCCCTCGTGTCCTTGACTGCTTGCCCCAACGAATTGATTCTGAAAGCTTCCTGTTGGCCCTGCATATGGCTGCCGAAGCTGCAAATCCCTTCTTCAGGCTTGGCTACAACAGCTTGGGTGCCTTTGCCACCATCAATCACCTCCACTTCCAGGTATATCTCTCTTTCACATTTTTAAAACCCTGGGTCATACTGGAATTGCCCAATTTCACTCAGGATTAGTGGGTGGGCAAGCGGATTCTTGGATGGCCTGGAGTAGCATGAGAACCATTGATTTTCATTTTTTATTATATTTTCCTGATTCCCTTCCAAGTTGTCGAGCAGGATTGACCAGCTGGTGACCGATTTGGTCACTTGGTCCGTACTTTAAGAACTCTCACTTCGAATGACAATGGAATTTCTCATATCTCTTTCATATTGTTTTCTGTGTCTTAATTCCTCGTCTAAGATCGCATTTGGGATGATTCTGGGCTTTCTATTTCTCTGTCATGTTGGTTTTCATGTATCTCAATCCTCTGATTTTTCTTTTAGAAATTTCAGAGGAAAATTTTTTTGGTGGTCCAGATTTCTCCCTCTCTCTCTGTGGTCCAGAGCTCTGAATGATCCATAACACTCTCTCTGCCCTCCCTCTCTCTGTGGACTTTGGCTGCCGCGCATCTTCTCAATTCCTTTCTCACAAATTATGTCTGAGAATGCCTGATATTTCTCTCTCTGTGTGTTTCTATTGCTTTCTATCTTTCTTGGAGCTAATTGAAGGAATGTTGGAATGATTGTGCAGGCATATTACATGTCAATGCCATTCCCGGTTGAGAAGGCACGAACAAAGAGAATTGCCATAATGAGCAAGGGAGTGAAGATGTCAGAACTATGTGATTACCCAGTTTGTGGCTTAGTCTTTGAGGGTGGGAAACAACTTGAAGATCTCTCTGAAGCGGTTTCCCTCTCTTGTATCTGCTTGCAAAACAACAATATACCTTATAATGTCCTCATTTCGGACTCTGGCAGGCGCATCTTCCTCTTCCCTCAGGTGATGTAATCAGCAAACTTTACTTACCATTTAAAGGGAGAAAACCATGAATCTCTCAAGAGAGAGAGAACCTTGAAACTCCACTTTTGGGAGAAACTAAGAAAGAGGCTGACCGATGAGTTTGTTTGCAGTGTTATGCAGAGAAGCAGGCCCTCGGAGAGGTGAGCCAAGAGTTGCTCGATACCCAAGTGAACCCAGCAGTCTGGGAGATTAGTGGGCACATGGTGCTAAAGAGGAGGAAAGACTATGAGGAGGCGTCTGAGGACTATGCATGGAGGCTTTTAGCAGAGGTTTCTCTCTCTAAGGAAAGGTTGGAAGAGGTGAAGGCTTATATATTGGAAGCACCTGGGTTTTCGGAGACTGAAGAGAGAGAAGATGAGATGGAGGACACCTGTAGTACTTTGGATAAAGAAAACCCATTTAAAGCTCATGCCCCACATCCTCGCTTCAGTGAGGGATGCTTAGTTCTTCAGTAAATCTCTTAATAGTGTCCTTGGGTTTGACTATATCTAGGCTTTTATCTCTACTTCAATTGGGTTTATCATTTGTATTATACATATGCCAGGACATTTATGCTATCAGATACTGTAAGCAAGTACTTATGTTTTGCATTGTTGATGAACTTCACATATCTAAACTGCATAGCAGGTTTTATATGGTTTATTTTCAGTAAGTTTCTGCTATTGGTAGGTCTAGCATCGAGAGCTTTTGCTCCTTGATAATCCACATTTTGCAAGGCTTGAAAAATTGTGTACGTGACAGAAGGCTTGTCATATGGGGATGCAATTCTCTTTCTTGAGTGACTGAATTCCCCGTGAGGAGGGAGAATTAACCTTTTAAGGACTTGGAGATGGTGTTAGCTTTTGTTTGTATGGGTAGTCTGTCATAGCTCAATTGTGTGTTATATGGTTTCCTTATGAGATATCCACTGTTCATTCTTTTTAACAAATGACAGAGATTAACTGCACCCGAATTGATGGCTTTTCGTGGGTCGTTTTAAGTGTACCATATTCCATGAACAACTGGTGTTTTTTCTAGTTTTCTACCTGAACTTGAACCTAATTGCTTTCCCCTGAACTTCTTTCCGAACTGTTAATGGAGCTCGCTTTGGACAATCTTTTTCTTCAAGAACAGCAGGCGTACCTCAGTTACCAATACTGACAACATAATTTATGGTGGGAGATTGAAGTTCAATTTTGCTCTTGAACCCCTATTTGCATGTAATCTTTTACCTAGAACCCCCACTTTAATAGATACAAGAAATGAAATAGGTTAGTCTTTTCTCAATGCTAATGATATTCGATGTTTAGTGGTTCTGAAACATAGGGGCTTGCTGCTTTTGTTGGGGAAGGTAAAGATCGAGCATCCCTGGGCTTTTTTGGGAAAATACCAACTGAATTTGTCTCGTTTTATGGGATTGAAAGTGAACACTTTTTGGTTTTCTGAGTATTTTCTATTTTGTAATCTTGGTATTTTGAAATATGCATTTCAAGGCTCCAAGAACGGATCGAGTAATTGAAAACGTATCAGTCAGATGTTCAATACCAAGTATCAAATGCCATTAAGTGTAATTTACGGTCTTGGCATTGTAAATAATACATATCAATGTTTCATTATTCCATGAGGGAAAAAGTTTATATAAGGATGCTACTTTATAATGTAGAACTACGGATGCCCCTCAAAAATCCATCGGAAAAGGTAGTTTTAATGTTGAAAAGCTTTTTGATTGGTCATCTCGATATCTAGATGTATGATTATGAGAAATAAAAATATTTTAAGTTTAAAACATAGTGCATTTTACAACCTATTATCTACATCGTCCACTTTCAAGATTTTCATATGTTTATAGATCTACTTAATTTTAATCATTTTTGAAATTTAAAATTTTATAATTAGATATAAAAATAGAGTTTTAAGATAATATAATGTTTTACATTAAAATTATATCCCATGATAAAATTTGAAGGTGCACCTTACCTCTACACTTATGGATGGGTCCGTATGCAAACTGCACCCTTCCATGAGAACATTGAAAACCATAAATCATATTTTATGTTTCTGAGCAACCTAGCATGCATCAATCTGACAACCTTAGAAGGTACTAATGGGCATGGTTAGGACCATTGCAACGCAATCATATGGTTAGAATGAAACTTTGATCAGCAGTGCGCAAATAATGGGTATGGTTAGGACCAATGGTTTAAAAACCGGATCGGTGACTCGGATCGAGCTTTTCAAAAACCGATCCAGATCGGAGAATCGGCGATCTGGATCGGCGAATCTGCGATCCGGATCGGAATAGGGTGAATCGGTCAGAATAAAGCTTCAAAAAAATCCGAAAAAATTATTAAAATTCATTATAAATATTTTTTTTTAGGAATTCAATAAAAAATGAGGGTACTCCATTAAGAATTTTCATTTTTTTGAATGAATATGCGAATATTGATATGTTCTTCGCCTGCATGAACCGCCATTCAACATTTAATTTACATCACACAAAAGGATAAACATAGAATTATCATGAAATAAGTATATCAACATACATGGACTACAATAAAGTATAAAATTAGTAACATACGATCTAAATTAAGATGTAAAAAGTTTAAATTAACTTGACAGTTCAAAAAGAAAAATAATCACCATATGTAGTGATAATATGTTGCTGTAGTTCATGTAGTCATATTCGTTGTTATTTGTTATTGCAAAAGGACAATAATATTTTCA